TAAATATTTCAAAAACGGGGACACTTTTACCTGAAAATTTTCTGTTTATCAGGGAGCTCACCCCCCCACCTACCTTCCCCCAAAGTTTGGCACGTTACTTCTGGGACACCCTATATATATGTACATGGGTGGCCTCGTAAACCACTGTATGTTAATTAATGAGTAAATATGTAAGTAATTCACATGTTTGCTTAAATGAGTGTATTGCACTTTCTGAATAATTCCACTTGTCTGTAATTACTTTCACTTTCATTTATGCAGCTCATTTAATCGGTTAAGTGCTAAACAACTTAGTGAACTTCTTATCGTAAGCGTAGTTAAAAGTTTTGGGGTAGAAATTTAGAATGAAGGCTTGTGAACTCAAAAGTAATTTTGAAAGCTTTTTAGTAGGTAGCCTGCTATGGCTTTTAGTAGCTATTTGCCGGGATTTAGAAACCAGACGTTCTGATATATCAGTCAAGTGGAAATATTTGTGAGAAAGCAAGTATAAACCGCCTTCATATCGCCCCATGCCTCAAAAGTGTTCCGATTTCAATCTAAAATTTTACAATTCAAATAAAAACTCAGTTGGTCTTGATGAAATGTAATATCCTTGCTCCTTCGTCTTTTGGAATGGAGTATATGTAGTTATTCACAAAACCAGTGTTACCATATTACTAAATTTTGAAACTAGATTTAGTACGATTTTGATAAGAAAAAAATGTTTGACTCTCAGCAATGCTTAAATGTTATAATTATAATTCAATGGTATTTTCGTAATTAATCGAGTTATGATTCGATTAATCTAAACAGGGAATTCCATAAAATTAAATAGCTTTTCGAAATGAAATACTCGAATTCAGTATATAAGTAGAAGTGATTAGAAGCTTCGTTTGAGTTTAAAGCTATTATCTGAAGTTTATTATACACTGGGAGTACCAGTTACTATCGAAATTCGACCATTTTTGTATTTTTTTAATACCCTTGGAGAGGTTTTCTAACTTAGCACGTCGTTTAACTTATAAGGCACAAAATTACTAACCGGAAAATCTCCTGCTTTGGGACTAAAGCCTGACTACAAATTTTGTATATTTTTGAAGATATTTGGCAAGACTTAGAATTGACTCGATACATTCCACTTCGTCGATAAATTTCGATAATCTGATAACTTCATGAATTTCAAGAACCTAAAATCCGATAACTCAATAACATTTAATAACTGGACTACTTTCGATAATTTTCGAGAACTGCGCGTTTCGAGGGCTCGATAAATTTCGATAACTCAAATATGTCAAATATCTTGATATAAATCGATAGCTCGATAAACTTTGCATATTTCTTTAAATTTCGACCAGTCGGTTAATTTTGATAGCTCCATATTTTTCGAAAGCTACTGACAAGCAGTGATAACTCGATAACTTATGTATATAACCTTGAAATTTCGATAGCTCAATATATTTTGAAAATTTTGAAAAACTTCGAAGAATTCGATGCATTTCGATAACTATAAACTATGGTCATTCGATAACTTAATAACTTTCGATGATTAAATTTTTTATGACTGAATTTTGTTGCGATTCATGTCGAAAACTTTCAATAAATTTTGTTAACCTTTCAGTTACCCTAATTCTTATATTTTTTTCTATTGTTTTAATTTTTTGTGTATTCTCTATGTTTTGCAAAACCCTGATTTCTTAGAAAGATTTTGAGTACGCAAAGCGAGAGTGCAGCCAATTAAATTCTAGTAGAAAAAAGTGCAAGGATAAAATTACCATTAATTTTTTTTTAGATTTTTTTGTCCCTTTTGCTTCCATATAACGAATAAACAAAATTTACTTTTATATAGAAGAAAAGCATAACATCTTCGACGATCTTCTAATTCAATGGGTTACAAACTGCATCCCAAGGTCTTTCTAAAAAATTAATATTAAAAAACTCGAAATTTTTACTAAAGTTTGTTGAATTTGTTTGTGAGTATTGCACAAAGTCTAGAACGTATTTTGTTAAACAATGAACTATATTTAAAAAAATCTTAAGCTGAATAACAAAAAAAAAATAGTATGTTAAAACTTTTCACAATGTGGTGCGGCCACTGAATGTACCTACACCAATTTGCTGGCACTGTTCCAACAGTCGTATGGCGGAGTGAGCAAAGCCGTAGCGTGCAATTTCCATGTTCGAGTCCTCGGTAAGGGGAGATTTTTAATACATTTTTAACCGACTTCAAAAAAGGAGGAAGGTTATCAATTCATAACCATAACATAACTTTGAACCACGTTAACAGATTTCTATAATTCTTTTTTTAAAGGAAAGGTGTTACCTCAAAGGTGGTCCCATTTTAATTTGGCTTAAATCCGATTGTTGGATCATGAAGTGATTAACGATAACCTTAAATTTTTATATGAGAATTGAAATCGGTTTTATTTTTTTGCTTAAAAATTATTTTAGATTTAATTTTCTTCTAGTTTTTATGGCGTTTTCTTTTCTACAAAAATGTTGCCTTTGCCTAGAAGAGAAAACGCCATTAGATTTTACTGTTGAAAAAGAAAAATCCTTTTTCTAGGTTTATTTCTTAATGAAATCGTTGTTTTTGTGCCTTTTTAAGCTTTCCTTAAATTTTATATACACCAAGCGCGACCAATCCCACGATATACGATTTTTAAAGCATTCTATAGATTTTCTATGCACACATTTACAGTACCAAATTGTGCGCTATTTTACTTTCTTACAGCTTATATTTGCAATCAACAGTTTGTCCATTATTCTTAAAAAAAACACACACTCTGCTCCTCCTCTTCAAACTTATTTGCAAATTGGCGCACGTATTATTTTTTCCCAAATAAGCCTCTCAAAATAAACATATTTATTTTGTATGCATTGCTTTTCCATCGAAAAGCAGTTTTCTGCTTTCATTTCCTAATTTCTTCATTATTATTTATTTCTCCCTCTCTATTTCTTTCTATTAATTTGAGCTGTTGTTTTTCGCGAGTAAACACCTGCAAGCAATGTCTGCGTCTAATTGAAGAATTGCACTTGGATTAATGTTTTCAATTTATTCAATTATTTTGTGCTTTGGTGAAATTTTCGGTTCACTTCATTATTTCTTCATTGCCTAGTAGAGGTTGAGTAAGCGAAAATGGTGTTGATAAGAAAAAAAAAATATAGAAGTTGATGAATTTCGAAAAGAATACAAGCTGGTAAACAGCAGTAATGGCTTGAACGCCAACAAAGCAACAAAGCCATTGACTTACAGAATTAAGGTTTATCTTTATAATGGTAATCAATTGCTGTTGGGATCTGCTAATTGCTATGCAATAAATTACACGCCAAACTGCAGTTATGTCGAAATTTAGCTAATTACTTTGACATGTGCTGCTGAAATGATAATGACCATACATACACATTTTCGTTGGGGATAAAGGTTAATTCCCAAATATCCACGAAAAGTGCAATGCCCCTGTGAATAATTTGATTTTAACATACAGATGTATTTAAGTAGATACATTGGCTCACATGTGGGGCAAATATTGGCGTTCTGCAAATAACAGCTCGCTAAATGTAGAATTTTTTATCATTTGTTGCATTCAATTTTCGAAGAGTCTTACAAATTTAATACATTTTTCTTTTTTCAGATGGTCATCTTAACCGTTTGGGTCACTTCAGCCCTATTTTCTACGCCAAAATTCCTTTTTAGCAAAACTATCAAAAATATTCACACTGAGGATGGACAGGAGGAGGAAATCTGTGTGATGGATCGCAATATGTACAACTCAAAGGTACTGGATATGATCAGTTTCGTGCTGCTCTACGTCATACCGCTGCTGGTGATGACGGTAAGTTAGAATAAATGCCGCGCTTCACACACAAGTGTAACGATGCACAGTTTTATTTCGATGCTGAGGTTCAAGGCAGGTTTTATGCATCTTAGAAAGGTAGGGCTTTTGGCTCTTTGCCTGAAGCTCTTTTTTTGTGTAATTTCCAGGCCCAATTGAGAAATCAACTGAAAGAATTTTTCATAACTTCATTAAGGAATGACCAATGACACAATAGGGATAGGAAACTGACAGTTAAGATTTATGAGAACCCGAAACTAAGAGAGTAGCTTAGCTCAAATATTTCGGTTAAATATCAGGGACACTTAACACTTAGCAAAAACCTGCACTGAAAAAAGTTACGCCAACTAAATATGTGTACATATTTCTTAGTGTGGGGTTTTAAAATAACCTTCGATACTTCGGCTATACGGGGCTTTGATCGGATCAACTATTGCTAAACGATCTGCAAAAAAAAGCATACGTGAAGCTCTTAATGCTCTTTTCGATTTCCCCTGCATCTAGAGAAGCATCGATTAAGCGGTCGGCTACATTCCCTCGCACAGTGGCACGAAAATAATACTACTTAGTGCTATTCGTACTTGTACTAGAATTCCTCTCTTCTGAGAGGAAATTACTGCGTCAGCATGGATCTTAGAGAAAATTCGAGATTTCCTGAACCTCTTATATGGGATAAAAAAAAATATCGAAAAATTTAGGTGGAGACTAAATTGCAAAAAAAAAATAAAAATTAAAAATTTTTAGTTATATGCATTAAGTGTTGATCAACTAACTTCGCCACATCACAAAAACCTTTTTCACAACCATAAAAAAAAAGTAAGAAAAGTTTGAAGCGGAGTTAACTTTGTCAGGTCGTCCGCTCGTCCTTTACTTTTTCCCATTCAAATTTCTTGCCTCTTCGGCTCAAACATTGGAGGCTTAAGTTCTTGAGTTACTAATTTATGATTTTCCGGCGTACTTATGTGCATATATTAATCCAATGCACCAACCCACATACAAATAATAGTGAAGTGCAAAAAAATTTTACAAATTAAAAGCAAAAATTTATAAGAAATATTTTAAGAGCAACTTTTTTTTATCACTTCAGAAGTAAAAAAATTAAATTTATGGTCATCTGTGAACTGGGCATTAGTATATACTTGGTAAGTTTACGACTGAACAAAAAATATTTGATTACTTAAAAGTTGGACATAAATTTATGGTAATTTAAAAACTGGGCATAAATTCTTGGCTATAAATGTGCTGAGTTACTCAAGTTCACAATTATTTATTTGGTGAATAAACCTGTAATTTTCGAAGCACAATTTCATGTCTTAGATCACAGAAAAAGATAAAACATTTAAATCAGATAAAGAACTTGAAATGCTTTAATTTATTAGAGAAATACCAGAGGAAATCAGTAAGTCGCCTGCGGCTTATTACGACGAGCGCTGTCATTAAAGCCATCGGCGGCGGAATCTGCGAGCTTCTTCTTTAAACCGTGATTCTGATAATAGAATTTAAGTAATAGCTGTATTACGGTACGCATACATGTATGTAAGTGTGTTTAAATATACATCAAGTACATTGGAGAATTTTTGCTTGAAATATTTTCGTGCTCAATTTAGTGACTTCGTCTAGCCTACATACATTAAACTCACACATCCACACGAACACATACATCCAACTGGCGCATAGAATGAATTACGCACCTATATATGTACTTAAATCTTTGTAATAAATTTTGTCAATCTCATTAAATTTGTTAAAAAAAAAAGAAAATATTTGCTTCACAGGTGCTTTATAGCAAAATTGCCATCGCTTTGTGGCGTAGTTCGCACGGTCTTTCGCATCATTTAGTTACCCAGCATGAGCAGCAGCAGCAGGCTCAGCACCAACAAGAGCAGCAAGAGCTAGACGAAAGCATGAGTTTGCATAACAGCATGTATCATCATCAACATCAACATCTACATCAACATCAACATGCAAATCAACACAATCACAGTCTCAAACAAAACCATCATCAACATCATCATCTCAACCATCATCATCACGATCACATGCCGCAAAATCATCATCCACCGTCGTCGATTCTACAGGCCACCATCAATCACCATCACAATCACCTGCAACAGACACAAACAGCGCAACAGTTGCCAGCAGCTGCACTAGCGATTGGTACACCTGAGGTGGGTGTGGGTGTGGGCGTGGGCGTGGTCGGTGTGAACAGCGGTGGTGTTGTCGTTTGTGGCGGTGCCATCAGCCAAACGGGCGGTTTATTGTCGCGTAAGCAGAGCAGCAAATACGACAAACGCGGCGTAAGCATCACCGAGAGTCAGGTGAGTTGTTAATTAAATTTGTACGTGTGCATTAGCGGTTGAGTGTGGGTGTGTGTGTGTGTGTGTGTGTGTGTGTAATATGAAATTATTTAACATGACATGCGTGCTGTCTTATGTTGGCTTTGGCCTTTATGAGGACGACAAGTAATATGAATTTGTATACTTATGAGGCATTAGCATGTTTATTGCACTTTGCTGCATCACACTCGGATTTCAGTGGGTGTGAGGCATATTTGGATTTCGCTTTATTAAATTTTACGCGGCATATTTTGCATATTAGCAATTTAGAGCGGAGTGTAACTGAGTATAGGTAGATACTTACGTACGTATGAGCATTGCGAGATGATTAGTATGGTTTTGGGATGAGAAAATAAATAAAATAGAGTGTGACATACTAAATAACATTGCGGATAGCTGTGCGCTACAGAAATGTTTGTAAAGCCAATGAGTTAAATTACGTCACTCTACAAGTAGTACTCTAGACGACTTCCGATCCTCCTTAGAATAATAAATGCATCAACTTTGACTTATGCTCACACAGAAAATTAAGTTTCCACTGAAATATATGAGTTGAGTTAAGATGAAGTGAAGTGAGTTTTGATAAGTTGGTGAAGTTGGTTAGAAGTGAGGTGAGAAGGTGAGGTGAGGTGAAATAACATTTGTTGGGGTGAGTTGAATAGAGGGGAGTTGAACTTAGCTCATAGCATATTATAACATAACGCAACATAATATAACATAACAAAAGATAATAAAACACAACATAACGTAACTTAAGATAAAATAATATAACATAGCGTAACATAACATAACATAACATAGCATAACCTAACATATCATACCGTCGCCCGTACGACAGAATGATGAATGCGTAAAAATTAAAATTTTGGGAAATCAAGTTTGAAAGTTTTTTTACTAGACTTGACTCTTAGGCAATTGAAATTGTAAAATATGTGGTCTCCGTGTAAGCCTGGTATTCTGGGTTTTGCTATAACATAGAACATCCAAAGGTTAATCAAGTTAGCCCAATAATTAAAAAAACTGGTAAATTTGCACATTCATGCTTCCGGCTTAAGGATGGAGATACCAGAGAATGTATGTAATATATTTTATATATATATACTATATATATAAATATAGAATTCTATGTCTAGAAAGAAAAATCTGGTAACTCCCACACCCAATTAAAAACCAATTTTGCAAACATGAAATAAATTAAACCCAATAAATTGCCACATTTATCATTTTCACTCAAGATAAGTAACAAATTAAAAATAGTTACTTTTCTAATTTATTTACCGATAACTTTTCATGCACACGATAAAAGTTTAACTTAAAATTTCAATTCGCCTGCCGCTGCCTTCACCACACAAACTCACTTATGCATTCCTAATGAACGGAAATCAGATGAAACTTTGGCAAAAAGCACATTTGGCTAGCGGAAATTTTCAAGAAGAAGAACAAGTAGAAAACATTTCCATGCAACCAAACTTAAGCAATAAGTTTTATTCTTCGACGAAAATTTTTGGCCCAAAGCTACATAATCTGCACCAAAACAACCACAGCTAATCCGACACAGCCACAATGATAGCCACAAATGTAGCCGAGGTGGCTGCATTTTGGTAGAAAGTGAAAAGGTTACAGCGTTTTCTTTTTACCGAAAAATGTTGCACTCTCAGTGCCCCCTATGCACAAATACTAAGGAGAGGGCTATGAAAAGCCAACATATTTTGTAGAAACCAAAACGCCATTACTTTCATATACAGGGTTGCTAAAAGTCTTCTCTCCGAAGAAGATGCGAAATGTTAGAAATATTAATAAATTACTATTTTTCTGACCTCATTCGTTTTCTAAATTTAAATTTATTTTTATATATCAATCGATTTCTCTCTCTAATTAACCCAATAACACTGTTTATCCAACTCTTGACACTTCAAATCAACTGTCACCAAATGCAAACTTGCATTCGATCCACTACTCAGCTGGCCAATAAATCTACTCCGGTTGCGCTTAATTTGCCAACGCTTTCGTTTGTTAGTTACTCTTCACCGCCATTTGGCACCAGCGCGCGTTGAATTGCCGGCGAAGGTGGGGGTGGCTGGTGAGTTATACGAACTTTTGAATGACTGCGCATTAGAGAACATTTCTCCAACTACTTCCATTAGTATTTTAGTTTTTTCTTCTTCTTTTTGTTCACTTTTACTCTATCACCTTTGAGTTCAACTACAACGGACGTCTGCCGTGGAGGCTGTGTCTCTGGCGCATCAAGGTGCAACTTTTGTGGAAAGTTCAAAGTTTTCACTTAATGCCTTTGGAGTGAAATAAATAAAGCAGATAATCGGTGAAGGAAACTATTTTTGCTAGTGATAAGCGTGAAAAGAGTTGAAAGGATGAAGAGAATGAAGAAGGAAATGTTTAAGTGACATCGAGTAGAAAATTGTAAAAAATATAAAATCACTATTTATTTAATAAAGAACAATTAGCTTAAATTAGTACAGACGTTGATGCAAACTGAAGTTAAAAAGTTAGAAATATATTTTATGATTCAGGTAATTCGATCTTAAGATACGGAAGACTTTTCATACTAATACGGTACACACTCGTTGCTCTACTAAATAAGTAACAGTACTGTTGGAGAAACAAAAGCTCGATTTGTAGCTCAATGCTGCATTTAGTAGATGTAGAGCAAATTATTAAAACAAAACGTGTACTAAAATATGATGATATGGGCAACAAAAAAAATAATGCATAAAATTGTTAAAAAAAAATAATCGACTTCACTTAATCGACTAACTGTTTCGCTCACAAAAAACTAGTCGCCTAATCGTTTATTTTCGATTTTTTTACTAGTCTTTTTATAAACATTTGTTTTTACATTTTTTTAATACCTAAATTCATTGAGAAAATCCAACCGCGCTAATAAAATCATTTTACGGTGAAGAACTGCCACTATTCGAATAATTTTGGCTAGAGAGATTTTTAGTGCACTCGATAGTGAGCAATAATGTCAGTCTGGAGATAAATCGAAGAATAACTCTTAGCAACAGGTACTACTTTCGGCTCGGTAGCAGAGCCCACTATCGACGAACGAAAATCACACTCTACAATTCTGATATCACGCCCGTCCTTGCTTCTTGAGCGCAGAAACATGGACGGTGTCTAACAAAGATGAGCATGCTTTGGGGGGTTCGAGAGAACTATTCTTCTATGCGGGGGCAACGATTACTGAAGAAGATGAAATGACGAACTGTACGAGCTAAGCGCATAAAAATACAACGATTGCACTGGCTTCAACATGTTGTACGCACGGATGACGACGCTCCGGCGAAAAGATCCTTCGACTCCGCACTATGAGTGGGCAGAGATAGCAAGGGCGCCCACTAACAAGAATGGAAGGACCAAATGCGAAAGGACCTGTCCGCCTTTGATATGAACAACTGGCGCAAATTCGTAAATGAGAGAGTCAACCGGCGAAGCTTTTTGGCCTTGGCCGAACCCGATAAATGGTTGTGGTGCTAAATATGAAGCAGAATAAAAACGTTGTCGCGGTCTGAGAGACCAACAAAAGTACTTGAGGGTTAAAATTTTAACCAAGTAAAATAAATTAAGAAATAAAAAAATTGAAATTTATATTTATCATCCATCATATTTTTCGATCGGAAAACTCTCTTTTCTCTTCAGGAGATTCCCAGTTATAATATCCAATTGTTTATTTAACTATTTTTTATAGTAATAATATTTTATAGGTCCGTCAAAACCAGTAGGAAATGCAATGGGGGGGATAAATAAAAATTCGTTGGTATTAAAAAAATTGTTAAATAAACAATTGGGTATTGTCATTGAAAGTCGCCTGAAGAGAAACCGAGTTTTCCGATCGAAAAATATTAATTTTCAAAAATTCTATACCATTTTTACGAAAAGTTGTTTTTTCGCATATAAAATACATAGAAAACTTTAAGCGCTTTAAGCGACCTCTAAAAATTTTTTTATTTCAAAACAAAAAAAAAATGGTGTATATTTTTTCGACACGGGACAATGCTAGGAGGTGAGAGCATTAAAATTCTGACTTTACTTATTTTGGACCACCCGAATGTACACACATACATATTTGTTTTTTTTTTTTTTTTTGTCTCGAAGTCAAACAGAATGGCAGCAATTAAACTGTAATTATTAAAGTTTATTGCATGCTCCTTGAGCTATTTAGAGAAGCACTTCTAAAAAAAAGCGTAGCCTTTTGCAGGAGGTCATCGATACATGCGCACATATCGTACCTTTGCTGCAAAAGTGTGATAATCAGAAAAAATAAATAAAAAATAAAAATGCTTGAGCTTAAATTACCTCTTCTTGTGTATTATGTAAAAATTCCACAGCTCATTAGAAAAAAATGTGTCTTAATTTTATATATATATATTATTTTATGTAAACGGTAAACTTAAAAGCAGGTTTTTCGAGTTTTTGATTTTTTGAATTATGACACTTTTTCAGCAAAGTATGCATTTAAATACTAATATTGTGTATATGTATGCATATGTTGCATATGTACATAAAATGTGTGCTTCAATGCCAAGGACTTTAGCTGCATTTTCAAACAAGGTCACGACGTTAATCGTCGGTGCGTGCCAGTTTTGTTTGCTTTTTTTTTTTTTTTTGTACGAGCCCGCAATAATGATATGCCACGCACACACAAACACACAATTTCAATTTGTCGCAGTCTATTTTGTACGTGATAAGATTTTCTAATAAAAGTCAAGAAATTTTCAAGTATATGAATTAATATACACTTTCCTTGGAGAAGAAAAGGATAACTGGAAAAAAACGTCCACTTGACTGCTGCTAATAGTAGTATGACTAGACATACTACATATAAAGCCTTGTACAAAAAAAGAAACCACTAAACGATTTTCTTTTTATTAGCAATTACTTTCTGCTAATTTAGAGTACAATATTTTTCTTAAACTTTTTGTTTCAAATATTTAAAGGCTACTGATCCGTTTGTACTCGAAGGGTTGGTGTTGGCGTCTCTCTTACCTGTTGTTTATTATCCATTCACTGAGACGACCAATTCGGTAAACATTTGGGTATCATCACCATGCCTTTGCAAAAAGTTACAGTTTGTTTTCGGGACTTTAAGCTGCAGCATCACCGTCAACGGCCAGCGCTACATAACGATAAAAACCGATTTGAATGATATGAACTTGAACGAAATGTGGTTTCAACGGGATGATGCCATAAGCGACTAACTGTTTGCCACAGAGATCGTAAAATTTTAGTAGATTCGACTTTTTTTCATTAGATGTTCGGAAATAGGCAAAATTATACCGAACCCGGAGACCAAAGTCAACAAAACCCTAGACCTAGTCCCCAGTCCCTAGAAATTCAGTCAGATCTATGGGACAGAGTCAATGAAAATTAGATCACTCTAATGTACACTAGGGACGTCCAAAGAAATTAAAAGAAAATTTCTATGCTCCCACCCCTAGTGTTGTTCTATATCGAAAAAATATACCCGTTTTTTTTTTAATACAAAATATTTTGAGCGTTTTAGCTCAAGTTTCCCATGTATTTTATATGGGAAAAAATGTTTTCGTAGAAATGGTATTCAACTCCAATATCAATAAATAATCATTTATTTAACACTTTTTTAATATTAACTATGTTTATGGGTTACCCAAAACCCCCAAAAATTCAATGGATCAAGGTTTCTATACCGTTTTCACGAAGTGTTCTTCGCCATATAAAATACATCAGAAACTTTTAGCGCTTTGGGCAACCTCTAAAAAAGGAACTTCAAAGGGCACAGTGTAGATTAATGGAAATCAAGTTCTGGGAAAAACTCAATGCTAAGGCAGGATTATAAATTTAACAGCCAAGAGACATTAACAACCCGGCCTCTGGTTATGTTGTTAAATAGCAAGTCCACAAAAACCAACTGTGTACAAGCATGTTAAGATCTTATTTCTGTATGTGTACATCTCTGTCTATCTTTCGTATGCTTTATTACTTTAAATTTCCAATTTTGCAATCATTACTTTAAATTACTTCAATTCTGTCTACATATAAACTTTTTTAATTTATCTTTCCCTTCTTTGTTACTACTTCCTTGGACTGACGGCATGACAGTGCGACGGCAGCCAGGTGGGTTATTTTTTAAGTTTCACTTGACAAACAAAAAAAAAAAGTATTTTTGTGAAAGTTTTTCTGCTAGGGGTTAGGACTCAAAATGAGCATGCACTCTTTTTGAATACGAGTATGTACTACACTCAGAAGAAAGTCAGCTAAATGCATTTCTCTCAACACATAATTCGGTAACTACAACCAAATTCGGTTACTATAACCAAATCATGTGTTGACAGAAACATATGTATGTAGTTGACGTAGCTAAACTCTTTTGGTGTAGGGTACCGTACACCTTCGAAACTAAAGTATTTTTTCAGAGGTAGCACCTAAGTACGCCACCAGATCTCAGTTCTTATCACCATAACCTACCACCCTAATGTCAGTTAATTAAAGCTCTACAAAATTCATTAATTTTTTCAAAGGAAGTATTTCGATTATTCCAGTGCAACAACTAAAAAATATATATGTGTATTGCCCAATGTAGTGCCGTCGAAAAATCTAAAATGGCGACCCCTAGGTTCGGCGAAAATTGCCTGGAAAAAATACTTTAGACTCAGGTGTGTACGGCGAACCTGTTTTTATTTGCTTGTAAGGAGGTACAGTGTAGTAGGTACAAAACATACATACCTACATACATGCATGTGTAATAACACTATGTATTTCCTTGACACTTTTCAGGTTTCCCTCGACTCCGATCGACCCATTGTGACGGCATGCCGCAATGGCAGCGGCCAGAGCAACAACGGCAACAGCAGTGGCGGTGGCGGTGGCAGCATGAATAGCAACCACAAAAGTAGTTTTATGCAACATCATCATCATCATCATCATCATTCGTCGACGCATCCGCATCCGCATCAGCGTACGCGCATCAACCGCATGCCACACTCATCGAATAATGTGCTGCGTGCTAGGCGTGGCGTTGTGCGCATGCTCATCATTTTCGTGCTCACATTTGCACTGTGCAATTTGCCATATCATGCGCGTAAAATGTGGCAATACTGGTAAGTGAAATAAGAAAAAAACCAACAAAAAAAAAAAAAAAAACAAATGTTACAGTTGCATTTACATACATTTACAGTTACATATTAGTATAAGCACTTCCCAAAAAGGGGAGGACACAGCGTGGTAAATAGCATGAAAATTATTACTAAGCGACACACTTTTGCGGTTCATCAAGCACAAATTTGGCAAAGTATATTTTCTGGTTTTTTTATGAGCGCGCTAATGCGAAATTTATGCGTCGTACTGTGCTTCTAACTTCTAAGTGAAATTTTGCGTATGTAGTTATGTATCTGAGTAAACCAGGTTTTACTCTTGTGTGTGGCATTTAGTTACTGTTGCTGTTGTTGCGGTTATATTTGCTGTTATTACTGATGCAGATAAAAATATGCTAATGGCGCAAATTTACTCAGCCAGCGCTAACAAATTTATGTTCATTGCATCAAAGATTTGCTTCGTTGATGAATTGAAGCAACAGTGAGAGAGGTCAAGTTGCGTTATGTAACCAAATCAAAAGTGAGCTAACTTAAAAATCAGAGAGCATTGTACAGATTCGAAGCAATTAATACATATGTACATACATACATATACCAAAACTTATGGCTTCTAAATTTAAGTAGAAAAAGTTTTCTTGAGCTTTATAATCGGTTTGATGCTGAAATATTTTTTAAAGATACGCATTAGTTATTATTTTGACCTATGTATATTTGAAGGCACAAAGCCTAAAAAAATAATCACTTTAAAATTTCGACTCAGTAATGCATTTGAGTATGTGTATATTTTAACCCAACCAACAATAAGGTTCGAACTCAATTTGAGGTTAAGTTCAGCACTAAGGTGTTTCTCAAATCTTCAATGTTGTTTCTCAACAGTGCTTTAAGTGGAAAATTATAGCGTTCATTTTTTATATTAAAATAGGACTTTCTCTCAAGTTGAGAAAAAGTTAGTTCTCAACTAGAGCTCCAATGTGATTCACCAATTGGTCTCAAATACATCACTGAAGCACTGAAATTAAAATAGTAAAAAATTGTAATCGCTTAAATTGAAACCACATAAATAAATTTAAATATTTAATTTTTTACTCTTTTTGTAGTAGTTAAATCTCGCATTACAATAATTATCTTTAAAATTCAGGGATTTTAATGTTTCATTTTTTAATTTACAAGATTAATTATTTATTTAACTTTTACTTTGCATTTTTGGTTAGGTATTACGAGAAGCGTATCAGAAGAGAAGCTTGTCACTTTTCTAAAATATGTATGTGCATTAAAAAAAAAAACTATTTATTAGAGAGATTAGAAATCAAACGAATGCTGTTTAATAAAATTTGAGTCTAGAAAATATCTTTAAACTAGCAAAAAAAAAAAATTATCAAACTAATAAACAATTTAGATACCAACGTAAACAATTAAAAAATATTTCAACCAGTATGGGCAAATTATAAAAAATTCTTTAAAGCATACATTTTTTATAGAGTTGGTGAGATAGATTATTAGAATATTTAGCCAAATCCCCTTTAGAAAAACCTCAAAGCGCCAGCTAATAAATATTTTAATACTGACGTCTTATTAAAAACGTATGATTACCATTTTATATTTATGATAAAAAATTGTAAAATCTTACATTCTTAATTTTTTTGGAATATAAACTTGTGACAAACTAACCTTACCACGACTGTTTTAAAAACATGAGAATGAATTTTATAAATTAATAATATTTTGCTTTTTGTTGTGAATATAGTTCACACCGTAATAAAAACTATATAAATAAAATTTTAAAACTGTGTATAGAATTTTAAAATTTTATTAAAAAATTTTGGGGGGATTTCGGTTAAGCAGCTTAATATCTATCGCATTAAATTTTAGTAAAATAATGTGCAACTTTGTAGCCAAAAATTCTCGGTGATGTTTGAAAATTTTTTTCACGACCGTCGTGTGCAGTTTTTTGTCAAAGATTAACCAAAGTTTTGAACTACTTCAATCTTGCACTTTATTATATTAAATTTAAATGGGATAATAAACTGCATACTCGAAATTTTCCTAAAATGTTCGAAATTTTAGTGAAAATTGAATGAATTTTAATACATTTTTTACAAAGTTTAAAATTTGTATTTACACATACATAAGTATATACATTTACAAACAAAAAATAATCTTTTTTATTAATTTAAAAAATTCTCCCAATTAATTTTTTGCTCGTGGAAGATTTGCGAGGTCACAAGTGTACTTTCAGTGAATTGGGATGTTGTTTGTTGGGATTTTGCGTACACAAAAGTGTTTTTTTGAAATTAAAAGCTGGGTGTTATTATTTTTACCGCAATCATATGCTTAGCCTTCTCCTGGCCAATCTAAGTAACAAATTTATTTAAAATCATATCATTGCAAGCCTTTATAGATTCACAATAACTTGTAGAGTACAGCATAAACTCTTCGTACAAATGGCAGAGTATAAGTGACAGTCATGAATTGGACACATTGAATGCCCTAGCAACAAAAAGAAAGAGAAAACAAATAAATGAAAGCAGCAACTGTAAATGAAACCGGTTGACAACATAATTAATGAACTGTAAATAAAGACCACTCTGAACAGACAGAGAAACAAACAGGTGAAAATACAAACAACTACAATAAACAAATACCAATACAACAGCTACTCTTTCTTCGCTGCAGTGCAGTGCAATAAGGTTATTCGCCAGTGATTTAAGTAAACCCGTATACCTGCGACGTCGAGAGAGTGGCATCATATTAATAGCAGTTTGTTGCGCTGTGTGGCGCGGAAATGAACAAAAATTTCAATGGAGAGAAATTAATTGAAGGCTGGCTGATTAAGTGTACTCGTATAAATGAGGAGTGAATGAATGAATCAGTGAATGTAAGCAATTTTGTGCGACAAATGAAAATTTTATTTTAAAATTTTATTTTTACGCACGAGCTACTTGCTGAGTGAAGAGGAAGACGAAAATAGGAAGGAACGATACTCATTTTGGTTGTTGGTGTTTCCAACCGAGTAGAAACATGATGTATTGTGAAACTGAAGATGGCACAAAGCCGAAACCGCCTTGCCACCAAACCAAATTTGACAAGGCATACTGGAGAAACATCTGGAGGCAAGTCCTTTCGTTTGGCCCCTCACTTTTAGTCCAACGAATAGCCCACATCTTATAAATTTTCGTATAGGCGGCAATCCTTTTCGAAAAAATAAAACCTTAAAGTATTTTTTAAATAGGTGCGAACCCCACTAAAAAAAATCTTATTGAACATCCGGAAACCATATCCTTTCACTTGGTACCTAAGTTTTTAAGTCCAATGAACGGTGAAAATCATATCATTTTCAGCAAGGTGGCAACTCTATTCAAAAAATAATGAATTATTGAATATCTAGAGGGCAAGCCTTTTCATTTCACATTTCACTTTTTGTATTTCAACGAACAGATGTTATAATTTTTTAGAGAGGTGGCAACTCTATAGAAATTTTATGCACTAAAGATAATACCCCTAATAATACAGTTTATATTAAGCAAAATCTCCTCCAAGTCTCTGTAGTAATTCTCGAGATTAATAATAATGATATATTGGCGCTTACTTATACATACATATGTTACTGTTGGGTTGAACCGGGCTTGAACCCAGGCTCTGCTAGCATGCACTGCCAACCACTACACCGCAGCGGCCGCACATTAGAGATTGGCGTGGTCAAAAAGTGTCATTTTTGCTTTATGCTATGTTAGGTTAAAATAGTAATTTTTAAATAGAAGGCAACCCTACCCAAAAAAGTTGCTTTATATACGAATGTCATGCCCTTTCATTTAGTATCTCATTTTGTTATCCACCGAATAGTGAAGATCTTATAAGTTTTAAACAGGTGGCAACCCTACTCGAAAAAATAAAACATTTATGCTTATTTAGAGACTACCATCTTATTTGACGCCTCATCTTTTGTAATCCAAAGAACGGTGTGGATCTTATAGTTTTTAGACAGCTGGCAACCCTATAAAATTCGAAGTAAAAAGGGTCACTCTCCCACTCTTTGTATATTAGAGAAAATCTCGTCAAAATCCGTTCAGTACTTTTCGAGATTACCGCTACAAATAATGTCGACTTTCCCCTATATTATGTATAGACAAAAAAAAAAAAAAACAGAAATTTTTAATTTTTTATGGAAGTGTAACTAACCTCATGCCTGGGCCACTTAAAGAATCTGTGCGCATACAAAATAAATTTTCAAAATTTGTGCCAAGTGCAATCACTGCACACGCCATTGAAAGTAAAATTTTAAATTGTCACAAAAAAAAAACATGAAAATCTAAGTTTACAGTTGAAAAATTCACCTTGTTCAAGTTGTCCACTTTACACAATTACCAACGAAAGCACATACATACAAACTTACTGCATACTTGAGTACCTATGTATGTACGTGAAAATGCTGCATAATTGTTAAGTTTTCAGGTGTGCAATGGAAAAGTGCATTTTGAGGACATTTGAGATTTGAAGTAAATTATGGAAAAACGCACTTTAGTGCCATTGCGCCACAGCTGAACTTTGCTGTTTCGAAGGCAAACAAGACTGCCGGCGAGGTGTGTGAGTGATGAGCAAGCCAGCATGCAGCAGTGCATAGCAGCAGGGAGTAAAATTAAAAAAAAATAAAAAATAAGCAAAAAACAAAATGTTACAAATCTTGGGGAATTGAGAACAGCAGCGTTGGAGCAAAAGAAAAAAATGCAAGAATACATAAGTACGTATATGCGGAGTGTGTGGGTGTGTGTACAGATTTGCTAAAAGTTGTTGTTGCTCTACGTTCTGCAGTGGAATTACTGATGAGAAAAGTTTCGTGTAATTTCCAAATGTGAATTTGAAATTTTATTTGCAACTTTAAATTTAAAATGCGCTCAAAAATTGCGTTTGCGTTAATTTTAGTTCGATTCAATTAATCAACTTTAAAAACCATCGACGAAACGAGCTCGCACTCTCTGGTGGTGAAATCTGCAGCCCATACCTTCCGAGCTTGAGCTTTGGTTGTGATAAAGAGAATGCCAATACTTCCGGGGAGCTAATTAATATCTAGCAAAACTAAGGTCTGGAATATTTTGCCTTAGCTACTAGAGAGTTAAATTCGCTTTATGCGTCGAAGCAGAGCCCTTGCAGAAAAACCCTACGTTCCTTGATTATCAAGTATTCATCGAAGACTTAAGTACTTACAAAACTGCTGGCATCAGCATTACAACAGTCACGAAAACCCAGTAACTTGAAAGCAAAAATTTTACAAATTTGAAAATTTGTTGTTGATTGGATCAGCGGAGTACTTGAAGCCGCAGCCAACGTTTACATAAATTATAATTTTTTATTTTTGTAAAAAGTTGTTCTAGTCCTACTGGAATACCTCTTGAATACTCCACGCATACACACAATACATATGCACACACATATACTTTAGTTCCCTAGAAACTTAAACTTCTTTGAATTTTCAGTACAATTTCCCCCCCCCTGAGGACATTCATACATTTCGTTATTCATTCTCTACGCTTCTCTTTCGTTAATGTTTCAATTCTATGTATTCTTCTTCTTTTTTCATTAATTTCACCAGGTCACGTTCATATCGCGGTGACTCGAATTTCAATGCGCTCCTCACGCCGCTCACCTTCCTTGTCACCTACTTCAATTCGGGCATTAATCCGCTGCTGTACGCTTTCCTAAGTCGTAACTTTCGCAAAGGCATGAAGGAGTTGTTGCTGTGCACATGGAAGAAAGGCAAAGGCAAGTCATCATCGAACTCATCGATGCATCACAAAAGAGTGGCATTACAGGTAGTTGGTATAAAATCGGAATTTGTGAAAACAAAAAACAACGAAATGTCTCCAAAATAAATAAAGATAAAGAGCATAGAAACATTTAGTAAATGAAATTAAATTTTAAAAAGAAGGATAAAAAACTTAAAAAAAGTGAAACATTTGCATTGAAACGTATTGGCACGAAATGCAAATATGAAAAAAAAAAAAATTGGCAGCTGTAAGCAAAATTGTGGCTAGCACTGGGCTTTTATATTTCAGAAACATCCTACTTATGTATACCACATACAAACATACATAAAAATATTCCTTTCTATACAAAATCTTCTAGACGCATTCGTTACCAACTGACACAACGCATATCGGCAACGAACAACTATGATGACCCATTCATCGCATCCGCATCCACCGGCGAATTGCTGGCCAACGTTCATAAGCATGCAGCAGTTTTCGATTTGGCCGTTTACCAGCTGCGCTTTGTAGATGTCTGGGAAATACCGAATGTATGTACATATGTATACAAGTATACTTACACGCATAGTATATGTCGTAGCAAATAGTATTTTGGCTCAGCAGTTAAATGGACTACATTAAAATAGAGAAAGAATTTCAAGTGAAAATCAAACAAAGAATTGCTGTGGCATAGCTGTCGGTAATTATTATAGAAAATTAGAATTTAAGCAACATTTTATCGTTGTGATGTTTTTAAGCTTCAAATCTGATTAGTGAAGTAAATTTTGTTAAGGCTTAAATATTAATTATGTATGTTTATAAAAATATATTTGTATGCATTCAAATCTAGTCAGCCACTTTTTGCTGTACATATGCTTAGCTATCCAGTTTTTAATAAACATATTCAGTAAGTTATATATGTACAGGTCAAGCAACTTAGAAGGACTGTTAAGAAATTTATTTGAATTGAAAAAATCGTTTCGTACATCGTCTGAGAGCTTAACTACTAAAAAATTATAAAAATTTTCAAACTTTTCTGTCTTTAGTTTTGGTTCAACAAACCCCCAAAAAAAAAGTAAAAATTAACGAAGCACTGTTTTCTAAAAAAAAAGAGAAAATTTAAATTTACTTGGGAATTTCTCAAAAGCTTAAAAAGTCAAAATCAAAAATATGTTTTATAGAAATTTTAATAGTTTTGTAAGATTTAAAAAAAAATTATAGTTTCTGCTAAATATTTTGCATATTTAGATTTAAAAATTTTTTTTTTATAAATCTCCCCATGTTTGGTAAAAAATGAAATTAGACTATGTAACAGCATTGAATGTACCCAATTTTGATGCGAGTTGCCGCCAAATTAACAGGAGTATTTTTAGGTCCCGTTTAATTAAATGTTTAACGATTATATTTAAATTTTTTCCTAATTTATGTGCTGATCTTAAAATATGTACATACATATGTACATAGAAAAGTTGAGATAGGTCGTTAAATTTTAGTTATGTATTTGCAAAAAGGAAACAATTTGATTAAAAGTTCTAATTTTATAAAAAAAAAAAAATATTTTTTATCAAAAAATATAAAAGCCATAAACATCTTGATTTTTTTTTGGGGCAAGAATCAATTTAATGTTAAAAACTAAATTTAAAAATTTTAGTGGAATATATTTTACAGAATACTTATTTTTTTTTATTGACACAGGTCGATAAATTGTATTTATTTATTTGCAAAAAAGGTAAAAATTTAATTTAAAAGTCAAAAAATTTTATAAAAAAGAAATTGTTTTTAATCAATAAAATATAAAATCCATAAACATCTTGAATTTTTTAGGATCAAGAATCACTTTAATACTAAAAACTAAATTTAAAAATTTCAGTGTAATATATTTTAGAGAATTTCAGAGGCCAAGCTCGGCGCAGAGCGAGGTTTACTTTTACCTGCGAAATATTCTAGATTTTTAATTCCTGCAATCGAAAAACATATGAAAATATTAATACGCTAAAACCTAGCAGTTTTGTGAATTATTTTCGTTTCTTCTAATTTTCTTTTCGCAAGAAATTCTTCTGAAGACATCAGCCCACCCCATGCCCATGACTACTTCGTTTAACATTAAAGAAATTATTTTTTAAGGCCCTGGTTGGCAGTTTCAATACATTTTTTACATTTAATTATTTATTTAGTGTTGTAATTTAAACTGTTGAAAGAAAGTTATAGTTTTATAAATCTATGTAATTGTGTCACCGGTTTCGAGAATAGAAACCTTTAATCGGTTTTTCGTTAAGGCGTGGCTCACATTATTTTGTTCGATATAAAAAATGTTAATATAATAGAAAGTAGAGTTGATACAAAGAAAAAAGGTAAGCCAAACAAAAAATTGTAAAAACGAAAACAATAAATTAGTTTAAATTATGCAATTAAGCATTTTATTGAATAAACGTAAAATATTTTTAATCTATTAAAGTTGTTATTGAATTTATTTGAAAAAAAAGTTCATGCGAAAGGTGAGTGAGTATAAGTGTTCAGAGTACTTAAAGGGGCGATGAATGAATTCCACTTAAATTCAACAGCCTTTAATTTATTCGGGACTTACCTAGATTAGGCCATCAGAAAGTATGTGAAAAGTATGAATTAAATTTGTGCAATAAATGTGACATCTGTGGCAGCCAGCATAACATATTGCTGCGGTCAGCAATAACAATCATATACGTTTAAATACATTTTGAAGTGAAACTTCTTTAGCGGCGGTTGGTTGGTTGGGAGTAAATTGGAAAATTCAACGGAAATTGCACACGGAAATGGTGCAACGGAAATGATGCACACGGAAATGGTGCAACGGAAATGGTTGGGGCTGAAACAAGTGTGTCTTGTGTGTATGCATATGGTATACAACTAATAAAAGGTTAAAGAATAACACTTAGAAAAAGACCAATACAATAATGAAAGTAAAGGTGAGTACGTACAGACATAGATAAAGACAAAGGTAAACATAGAAACAAAAAGAAAGATACGTAAAGATAAAGGCAAAAATTAAGACCAAGGTAAATTTAAATACTTTACTTATAGTATATAAGGGCAAAGGTGTAGGGGGATATGCAGATGAAGAAAATGATAAACATTAAAGTAAAGACAAAGAGGAGGATGAGGATACCGATAAAAGTAAAGATGAAGATAGGGGAAGAAAGATTAAAATAAAGTTAATTACAGAGGAAAGGATATAGAGAGAGACACACAGAGACTCAATCTGACAACTATTTTGGAAATTTAGAGATTTTCGGTATTCTCGAGACTTGTCGATGAAATAATCGACATTTTTATCGGTTTTGTTATCGATTTTACTAACGATATTTATAGATTTTGTTTCCGATTTTGTAGTCGATATTTATCGATTTTGCTATTGATATTTATCGATTCTGTTATCGATATTTATCGATTTTGTTGTCGACATTTATCGATTTTGCCATCGATACTTATCGATTTTCTTAACGATGTTTATCGATTTTGTTATCGATATTAATCGATTTTGTTATCGATATTTGTCGATTTTGTTATCGATATTTATCGACTTTTTTTTATCGATATTTATCGATTTTAATATCGATATTTAGCAATTTTGTTATCGATATCTATCGACTTTTTTATCGATATTTATCGATTTTGTTATCGAAATTTATAGATTTTGTTATCGATATTTATCGATTTTGTTATTGATTAATAATCGATATTTTTATAAACTTCGTTATCAATATTTTTATCGACTTTCTAATCAATTTTGCTACCAATATTATAACCGATTTTGCTATATTTTGTTGGATGTAACTATCGGTTTTGTTATCGATAGAGTGTAAAGATAAAAATGAAGACAAAGGAAAACAGAATAAGATAAATGTAACTAGAACGAACAGTAGTAGAGGTAGGGATCTACATAGGTAGAAAAAAGACAAAAAATATAACCTTAAGCAAAAGCAGATGAATGTATGTATGTACATATTTATGTATATTGGTTATGAGCACGATCCAGAAAATAAATGTCGCGCCATTCGCGGACCGCTAACCCTCTCTTCGTCGCTTTGACAGCATCCACCCAATCTTACTTTTGTACTTTTGTTTACATTCACTGTTGCCAACTTCATGCTTTTCGCACCAAATTTAGTGGGTATTCAAAACGCGAAACTTTTTGAGTTTTGTGCTTGGTGCGTTTTTGGTGCTTTTGTTTATAGTTTGAAGACTTCAAGTTAGAACATCTTAAAAAAATGGAAGCAAAATTTATAGCAATCGTAAGTGTGCTAAGCAATTTTACAAAAATTTAAACAAAATCATGGCACAGTGACAATCATAAGCGACAACGAAATATGTGCAGCACCTTCAATCATGCCAGAAGAAATCGACCGTTGTGCAAGAAACATTGATTTTTATTAATTTGAATCGGCATCCTTACAATAAAATTATGTATTCATATAAAGTCCATAAAACACAACAATAAAAATTTGGTGCTTTTTCAAATTCAAAACTTGGCAATACTGCCTTTTGTTCGATGCTTCTTCTTTTTCTTGTCGAGTTCGTCTTGCTCTCTCATTCTGGTATATTTTGACGTCACGGCCAGTTGCTCTCAGCTCGATTGGCGCAATCTTGTATTCTATCATTCTTGGGTCATGAGAAAAAAGAGATTCGTATCATAAGTTTCACTTCTCCAGTGTGGCCCAGGCGCACTTACTTTTTTTTATTTGAAGCACATATTTTTCATAACTACGGGCATATGAACGTAATTTGTAGGTACTATAAGAATATGAAATCATCTTGAATCTACTTTGCTGCAGCTGCAGTTTACCCTGATACAAGTAAGCTGTAACGCAGATTTGAATTTTTGAAGCAAAGTATTTCTTGCACATATATAAATGTTTGCACTTGTATATGTTTGGAAAACAATTTCTTATAAAACCAAGCGATTTTGCTATGATTTGATTGTAACTTCATAGCCACTTCGTTTCTACTGTATACTCAACTTTAAGGCGAAGACGTCTCTTGCTTGAACCCATTCGGTTAGTACATATGTACATACGTTTTTCCTGCTTACTAAGTCTTTCGTTTTGCATGATTTTCATTTTGTATTGCTCGAGAGTCACAAACAAATAAAATAAATGTTGAAAAGTGCTTGTAAAAGCTTTTAGAACTTACAAGTATGCTTCCGGGCGTTTGGCAAGTGCTGCTGTTTTCTGAGCTTGCATTCATACATATATGGTTGGGGAAACAAAAGTTCTAAAAAGCAATAAATTTAATAAATGAACATAATTTGCAGGCGGCGTAGTGGAAGCATTATTGCAAATTCAAGAGATGCTAGTCGAAACAGCTGTGATTTGGAACATTTGTAGTTAGTTAATTGAATGTTAAATACATTCTCGACTTCTACGCCACCTATCGGCAGTTTTTTTTGTGAAGTTATTCCTTTTGATATGGGTAACTTGTGTGATAAGTGTAAACTAAGTCGAAAATTGCATTGCCATAGGGCTCTTAGCTAAGTTTGAAGTTTCAAGTCTCTCAAGCTCATCGGGAAGTTAGCTAAAAATTTATTGCGAAATTTGACATACATAAGTAGCATTTTAAATAAAAGCTTGTAAAAAGGCATTGAATGTCACGTCTATTGTATGGACAAATGGACAATAGTGGTTAGGAAAGGTTACTACAGATCTGTTGATTGTAATGACTTCGTTTCTTTGCTCTATTTTTGAACAGTGTAGATAGATTTTCCGTCATCTTCTACTGGTACGACTTCGTCTCATTCTTATCCATTTTTGAACCTTGAAGTCCCTAAACGACGTAGCCTAAGTCAACTTTGACGTTTTTCATTCCACCCAGTATTGCTGCGTGGTAGGTTTCCACATGTTGACTTCCTTTGGTCTGAAGGCAGTCTTTGCAGCCACACCATGGGCGAAAATGTACAGCAGCTGCATGTAAAAAATTATATTACGCTCCTCATTGGAAGTGCGCTGGTCACCCCACCCGATATGTCATGGCATGCGAGCTTTGCACTTCGTTTTGTGTAGTAAGTAAGCCGCTATTTCCTGGCTTATTCAATCCTCCGCTAAGCCACACCGGCGCTCGGACCTGCAGAAGAATGTTTGGATGAATATGGTGATTATGCCTTAACAAACTAGAAAGATTGC